CATTGGGGTTCCAATTAGCCGACCTCTTTTCAACTGGTGGGTCCCCAAATGGTCCAATAGGAGTTATAAGGCCTTTTGCATTTAATCGATCAAATGCGGTGTCATAACTCATGCCAATAGGAGTGAAGTTCCTTCTAAATGGTTTCTTTTGTCCTTGATTGTTCATAGCAAGGACTTCTCCTAAATTAAAGGTGCTAACATTGTTTGAGTGGGCGGTTTTGGAAGAAGAAGGATTTTCGTTCTTCTTTCCTTTCCAGCCACTGTTGGAGTTATTGTTGGCAGCTTTTAATTTAGCCAAGTCATCTTCAATATTGATCCCAATGTCATAAACGACCTTGAAGGTATGGAGATTATTTTGATATTTGAGATGCTTGGAATATTTTTCTTGGAGATTTTTGATGAACAGTCTCACATATTCTTTTTCACTTGGCACCTCAATCATCTTAGTTGAGGTTTCTCTCCACTTGTTAAAGAAGGAGGTGAAGCCTTCATTTTCTTTCTGCTTGAGGATTTCAAGTTCCCTATGATCAGTCTCGACTTGAATGTTGCACTTGTACCTATCAACAAAAGCGTTTGCTATTGACTCCCAGGTAGAGGTCTTTTCTTTCTCGAGAGAAAAGAACCATTGTTGGCAAACGGTCTCGAGAGATAGTGAGAACAGAGAGGGGAAAACTTTCTTATCGATACCCTTAATACTCATTATTGTTTCGAATGCTCTTAAATGAAAGTAAGGGTTGTCAGTTGCTCTGAATTTTGGGATATCGTTGGCGTTGAACTTCTGCGGAAGAAGATCTTTGTCCACCGAGACCCCTTGTGATGTAAGCTCTTGAAACTTGTAGTCGCTAGACAACTTTCTTAAACTCTCTTGCATGAGGTCCATCTATTGTTGCTTCACGAGATCATCGATCTTGAGTGCGAGAAGCTTCAGTGTCTCAGTCACGGTAGCCAGTTGGTTCTTAAGATCATTGAATTCTTCTTGTGTGGCCATTATAACCTTAGCTTTCCTCTTACGAGCTATGGGTTTGTCGAAAGTTGGACTTGTACGAAGAGGTTATCTTTGATTAATCATCCTTCCTTTCTTGACCACACGCTGTAAATAAACCATTTTGCGTTTTAATTACTCGACTCGAATCAATTTGACTTTACGGTTTATTTTAAGGAAGAAAAGAAAAAGTAAAGAAAAGGGTGCATGTTTTTTGGCAAAAATAATGTACATATTTTTAGGGAACTAAGCATATTTTTTTTATTGGAGGATTAATATCCGATTTACCCCCCTAAAAAATGACGGAAAAACGCGCACACAAGACTCTCTTAAACATGGTCAAAATATGTGTATTGGTGTGTGCGTTGAGTATAAGTGACATGCTTGGGCTCTTGTGTAAGACCATGGGACTTAGTGCCTAAATTCGATCATTTACTCAAATAAATACTGTTGACAGCAAAATTTAACCGAATTAATTAGAAAACTGGTTAATTAGACTCTAAGTGATGACTCGACCAATAATCCGAACTGTCGGCCAAGAAACAGGACTGGCGTCGCACTGTGGAGCTTGGCGCCAGACGACAGAGTTGTCGTCAGGCGCTACACTCCATAATGTGGCGCTACAGCTCAGACCTTGGCGCCAGTATTGGAGCTTCGATCTGGGACTGTCTTCGGTTTTATTAGTCAATCGGGGTATGCCTAAAGTCGTACTAGGTCAATTCCGATTTAAAATATTAGACTTCATTGACTTTAACTAATTAATTAATTAGTTAGATAGGCAAAGTTCTTTAAGTCATTAAATTTTTAGTCTCAACACCAGTCAACAAACGGTTAAGAGAAACTAGAATATATATGCACAACAAATAATGCACAATTAGTCAAGTAGGCACAATATGATGCAATGCGTTTGCCACCTAACCATGGCTCTAGTTCTCTAAAGTTTGGGATATGGTTTAGTCAATAGAGGGTCCATGGTTAATTGTCCGGATGCACCGCGCGGAAGCCTAACCGTGAAGGGTTGGCGCGAGTGGATGGGACACCGCGAGTTTAGAAAAAACTCGCTTCCATGGTTTGGTGAATTCAACATCTCGGATGTACCCTTTGTTGCACGGAGCGTTCAATCGGGTAAATGGAGCATGAATTCCCAAAGGGTTATGTCCATATGTAGAACACATATGGGTTTCAGAAAAGTGAGAAAAAAAATTCAATCAGGAAGTAGAATCGAGCAAACAATATGAAAAACCGGTCGAAATTAGAACGCATATTTCTGGCTCGGTATTGGGGGAAATTGGCGCCAACAATTAGAGACTGGCGCCAGCTTTTAACTGTAGCGCCTGGCGCCAATACTGGCGTCTGGCGCTACGGTTAAAATTCTGGCGCCAAGCTCTGGCCCCTGACGCTACTTCCCACATGCCTCAGCAGCTTTCTGCTCGATAAAATTTTCCAGTTTCGCGCGGTGTTATTTCGGTCCTAGTTGTGAAAGATATTTCTCAAATTTCCTACGTGTAAAATCCTATGTTTTTAACTCATTACGGATGGTTTTTCCAATGAGATCTTTTTTATTCATATGACAATAATGTTAATCAAAATTACGCACATGAAATACTTAGAATGTTTCGAGTCTCATCCACTCATTCTAAATTATTGCCGAAACAAATTCAGGAATTAAAATAGAAATCCTCCCCAGTGGAGTCGCCAAAAAACTGTAGGGAATAATTCAAGCTTTAATCCCACTAGCTTGAACCCCACTGTGATCATACACTAAAGTACGGTGGCGTCCAAAAGGGAAGAAGATAGAGCAAAAGAGTCGCCAACAAGTTTTTTTAGGAACTTGTAAACCGTTCATAGGATGAAGGTTACACCCCTTAACGATCCAAGAGATCGTCAACTCCATAAGGTCTAGAACCAAATAAGGGTTCGGGGATGATGGTACAAATCAAACCTAGAAGAGATTGAACCTGCCCTAATAATAGGCCTCTACTTTATTCTGATCGTATTCATGTGCGCTTTCTGATTAACATGCAATCAATAGGATTAACCCTAAACCTGTTTATCTATGTTGGTTGAATTTAATGCACAAATAAATCTATTATTGGCGATCACTTGAATTATAATCACATTAACCCTAACAAGATTATTAATATCTTATTAAGTGTGATTACAAGTACCAATTCCCTTTAAACATGCAATAAAAGGTGTGATCAAGCAATAAATATAAAATATCAAGCAACATAATAAATAATCACAATAATAATCATGAACAATAATCATAACAATAACCATAATCATCATCAAAATAATAATAATAATAATATTCATAATCATCATAAATTATAATTATCATAATCATAATCATAATCATAATCATATTAATGTTAAAGCATAATAGAAATAGCAAGATCCTAGGCATGATACTAACAAGATTAATAACAAACCCTAGCATGTCACTAAGCAATAAAAATCAAATCTTTAACCCTAACATGATACTAACAATCATAAATATTAGGAAGAACATAGGAAGCATCGTAGGAATCATAATAAGCATATTTGATATTAAAATTACCCTAGACATGATACTAAGAATATCATAATAACAATGTAAACATGATTTCTACATCATAATATCAATAAAAACCATTAAAGTACTTACTTTGATGCTTCGTACCTCTTTCTAATAACAAAATACACACGTTAGTAACTTCAAAGAAAATAATAAACAAAACAATCAAATTAAATAATTGAAAGAGAGATTTGGGACCAAACCCTCAGAAATTAAAACCTTTCACGTCTAGGGCGAAGGCAACTTCGAATATGGCTAGGTGTTTCTAGATCTTGCGAATGCGGAATTTTGTATTTAAAAACAAAGTTTAGAAGAAAAAGATGAATGATTAAGAGAATACTAAAGAATTAATGATTGCGAATGAAAACTGATTGTTGATGAATGTAGATGATTGAAAACAGAGTTTTTAATACGATATTTATAGAGAAAATCAGCCAAAAAGATAAAATAAACAAAACAGAGTCTGACGCACAATAAACAGAGTTGGCGCAAACCCTGGCTAACTGGTGCTAGGCACCAACACTGGCGCCAAGCGCCAATGGCTAGCACCAGGCGCCAGACCTGGTTCCAGGCGCCAAAGCCTGGGGTCAGGTGCTAGGCGCCAGACCTGGTTCCAGGCGCCAAAGCCTGGGGTCAGGCGCCAAGCCTATTTTCAACGCGTTTTCGAAAATCAGATAAATTTTCCGTAGTGGAGGATAAAATCATATAATTTCCTCAAAAATGCTATTTGATTTTAATTAAAACTCTGAAAAGTCAAAAGTCAATTTATCAATGCTAATTGAATTAGGAAAGAAAATAACTTTCTAGAAGATTCTAGAAGACTAAAACCATTCCTAATTGCATTAGGAATGATAAATCATATTAGGCCCTCCCCTAGATCATTGGGCCGTATATAAGGCTCAAACCGGGCCCAGTTTAGTAAATTGGCTATAATTTTCTCAATATTCATCGGAATTGGGCTTATAATATATCGTTGGAAAACTTTTGTCAAGCCCCATCCAACTACACTATTATTGGACCCATATCATGGACCAACCAAATTGGATTGACTGTTTTCTTAAAATAAGTTTTCAAAAACAGAGAGAAGAGAAAAGAAATTAAAACTTTCCGCAACACTAGACTTTCCACACTTTCACTTCATTCGACTATGATTCGACGCGAAAGGTACTCATCACCGGGTTTGGTTTTGGAGAGACACAAATGGGTGTCTACAGTTACACGTAGTTGTAAGATTTAAAATAGATTAACTTTTAGAGATGGAAGGAGTGTCATATAAGTACCTACGCTCTACTATTTCTCAAAGAGGGGATATAACTAGTAATGGTTTATCATTAGACCTCTTAGCAAATCCTTCAATTATTGACATTATAAACATGTAACATGTTGAGATAATGGCTAGAAATTATGATAGATATGGCTGAAGAGAGTAAGGACAACTAAGAACAAATCAACAAGACAGAAAGAAGGATTATTTACATAAACTGTTATTTGCACTTAAAAACCGAAATCTGTCTTGAAAGCTCAAGAACTACACTCACAATATTTTGTCATTAGGATCTTAAAACCAGACGACAATACATTGTACATCATACGCTATATCCTTAATTATTAAAGCGTTCAAGCGTTTATTCTAAATTTATAGCAACAAACAAACAAACAAATGCTAAGTAAATTCCATGCAGCAACTAAAACTTGCTGCTCAACAACACCCCTACTGTACGTTTTAAATTCAGGAAAAACTATACAAAAGAATTAAAATACTTTTCTAGAACCAACTAAGGCTCATTTGCATCCTCCTCTTCTGCAGCTTCGTTTTCCTGTAGCATGTTCATCAACATGTTGATTTGATCCTGCAGCATTGTATTTTCCCTCTCAACATCTGAACGCTTTCTTTTTTCTTCTAGAAGCTGGACTTGTAGATGCTCAAGAACACGAGAATCCTCATCTAGTTGCTCACTTAACCCATCAATTTCACGATCCTGCACACATAACTCTAGCTTGTCAAATCATTCTTACATTACAGAGCAGTTAACATTTATTTCATAGTTATAATCTAGGTGATCACAATTATTTATATTTTTGTTGGAGGATGGATTCCTTTATTTCATTCTGCCACAATTACATGCTGTTCCAGTCTTCCTAGTACAGTAGTACGAGTTCTCATGTGAGAGTATCCTCTTGGCACATTATATTCTTTGTTGATTGCATTTTCAAGCTCTTCTTTTAGTATGAGTTTTTTAAAACAGGGGCAAGGTCTCGAAAAACCACCTTGCGATTCATTTCTTGGATGGCAATCCTCCGCATGCTCTCAACAACATCGACATTCACCAACTTCCGCTTCTTACCTATTAACCAGCCCTTAGGATATGCTGTTGCGTCGAAGTCTGGAGGAGGAAGCAAGCTCTCATTTGAGGGTCGTTTTCTTGGAAGAGTATCAATAGGCTCCAGCGGTTCAAATAGAGCCTTTCGGCGCTCTGAAAGAACAGCATTATCTGGAGGAGTCGAGTCCGGTGCCTTCTCTTCCTCTGAAGTTTCTGGTTTTGTTGGTGTTTCAAACATTGGCTCATCTCTTGGCTTGGTTACATTCAGTGCGCTTGCTGTCACATGAAGCTAGTCTTGTGGAATAAAATTAACCAGAAACTAACATGATTGTAACAATTGTTACAGCACCCATGCATTAATGCCAATCAAACAAACCACATGCATTCAGCAAATTTAAGCAGAACAATATTAAAATGCACTATGAGTGGCTAAGCACACACATAGCAACAAGCATCATTGAAATGGACTGCACACCTAGTAGGCTAGTATCTTCTTTATACCTCCTGAAAATGCTTTTGTTGTGGTTAAAAATATAGTTCACCAAATTTCCAGTTTGACCCTTATAGAGAATTGATTCATCTTCTGCTCTAATGTACTTTTATTCTAAGCTTTCTAGCAAATAGCAAAATTTTTATAAAATAAAAGAGGTGAGGTAAGAAGAGGGGAGGAAAATGTGACTTTACAATAAACAGTTTCTGTCTTTGAGGGAGCTATTTTCCACCATTGAGAAAACTATTTTCCACCCCTATACAAATCAAACAAAGACCATACACCAAGCCAAACACTCCATATAAACATTGAATACTTGTATATGTCATGTTCTATTGGAAGAAACGGTAGCATATTGGGTTTGATTAATTTACATCATTTTTTTTTAATTGATGTAAATTGGCAAGATAGTTTCTGCACAAGGGTTTTTTCAATTGGCAAGATAGTTTCCCCACAAGGTTTTAGGAGAATACTTTCAATTAAACTGAGAAAAACAAAGGGAAAAAAAAAAAAAAGACAGGTACAAATTACAGATTTTTAAGGAAAGTGTCACTAATAATAAAAAAAGGTATTTAGTGTAATTCAGTTTTAATTAGTATATACATTAGGCATACTAAATAATAGTGAGTCATTCCCGTCAAAAAAAAAAATAGTGAGTCATTGAAAATTAGTTATGATTATACTTTGTACGAAGCATTTGATAAGCTTAGTTTTCAAATAAATTACACAATTACAGCCTATTAAAAAGAATAAGGCCTTAATGGACAAATTTTGTACATGAAAAGGCTAGATTAAGAAAATTTTCTTACAATTTCTATAGATGTTTCTCCCATTGAATTAGAGTAAAAACTTTCAGGGGGGTGTTTTATAGTCTGGCAATTGATTACTGACTTTGGATTTAAAACAAAAAAAAAAGAGCATCACTTGCCAATAGAAAACTGTTAGCAATTACCAATAGAGCATTTTCATGAGCTAAGAAAAAGGGTTACCAATAGTGTCCAAATCAGGTTAGGTTGTGTCATTTCTGGATTTTCATACCGCAGAGGTCAGTCCGAGCTAATAGTTGAAAAGCTTCTAACATCAGTAACACAAAGTAACGTTTCTCAACACTACGGAGGTTTAATTAGGGAAAACTTTATAAATACTACGTATTTTGTATATCCTTTTTTTCCGTAGAAAATAGCCTATTTTTCTCATGCAGTCAAATAATAAAATCACTACATTATCTCCAATCTCAAATTCCAACTATTACTACATAATTTTCTTTAATCTCGGAGAATTTACAACAAGTCCCTCTCTAAATTTGCATAGCTAACTTTTTCCAATAATCCTTAACGGTCATGGACATATGACAACAATGCACCATCCATTTGTTCATTTAAAATATTATACACTATTACCATGGGTGTGTATACATAACCTTAAGTCAGATACTCCATAGTTATTTATGGAACTGAAGGAGCAAGGCACAAGGCAGTGAAGTAGACGAGATTTAAATCCATAAATCCAACTAATATAGCTCGCATCATATATATATCGCCTAAATTAACTAAAGATGATAGCAAAGAGGGGAAGACTACTTTCCAAGCAACAAACTTATACAGTAAGCAAGTAAGCAACAAAGTGGACAATGCTTATACATGAAGTGTTGAAGTTTGGTGTCAAAATTAACCACTGTCATAAAATCAAAGTTCTCAACAATGAAACAACCACTCTTCAACAACTACAAAGCGTGTCAAGCTACAAGACCAACTTTGTACAGTATTTCCAATTTCCAAACAACGAGCTCAGCAATTGTAAATTTGTAATAAAAGTACAAAATTTGACTAAAAACATAATCCCTTTAATTAGACGATACTTATCATAATTTAAATCAAATTCAAGCTGGAATTCCCTTTCTTAATATTTCATCAAATTTGACATAGCTTAAGCTTAGCTTGTAACATATATTTGAAATTATTGTAAATTCATACGTATACTCCTTCAACGCAGAAAAAATATAAATAAATAAAACAAAATCCCAAAAAACCCAACAACAGACTTTGTTTATCTCACGCAACATCTTACTTCTCATACTAATCAATAGCTAAACTACAATTTTTCCAAACAATTTTAATTTTTTTTCAACTAGTATTTCAACATAATTAAAGCAGTAATTCATAGAAAATATATCAATTAATCACACAAATAATACTTGTATATTCTTCAATTAATTAGTCATGAACAAATAAATAAAAAGCCAGAAAAAGAGGAGAGAGAAAACGAACCACGCCTCTTACGAGATTGCCAAAAAACACGAGTTGAAGAAACTGGTGAAAACCCATCAAAAGAATCTCTACTACTACCATTGTTTCTCTCTGAATTTGCTGCTTCTCCCATTTTTATTTTTATTTTTGATTTTTTGTTGCAAATTTGAGCTGAAAAAAAAAATATCTAAGCTTTTTTTTTTAATTGTTGATTGAATTTGAAGTTGTGAAATTGTAAATTTGCAGGTATCTCCACTTATCTCAACTGAAATAGTCCGTAAATTTTAGTCTAAATTAATGAAACAAGAAAATTTGTTAAAAGGAAAATAAAATGTCAGAAAAATGGGCGGTTGAGATTAGGAGGTGGGTGTGATTTTTAAGACAAAGACAATGAGAAAGAGAAAGAGAGAGAATTGTCTGTTTTTTAACGTTTTTTACGGTGTGTTGTGTTGTGTGATTGTGTGTTTGAGTCCTACACTTCTAATTTCTTATCGTTTACTCTTACTCACATTTGTCTAAGTTTTTTAATTTTTTAATTTTTTTTAATTAATTTATTTATTATTTTTTTTTAATGTGAGAATTTTTTAATTTGTCTTTGAGATGTTCTTGATAATAATATTATGAAAATTTGTCAAGAATATTATGACTTTTGCCCGATCTCCTTAAAATAAAACGATTTTTTAATTATCCAGAAATAAAATGACCTCTAACATACATCTTTCATAAATAGAATAGGAAATTTTGACTTTTGCTACCTATCAAACACATCAAATTTACTTTTGCTACCTATAAAAACTTTTATTTTATTTTACTACCTAACATATGCCCCCTTTTTAAATTTTGCTACCCGTTAACAGAATCAGTCAAGGTTCCGTTAAGTTTATTATTATTTTTTTAAAATAATAAATTAAAAATTAAAAACTAAAAAAAAAAACCAGCCACCCCTCCCCTCAACTTCCACCCCTTCCCTCCCCCCTACCGGCGGCCGGCGCCCAGAACTTCGGCCAGTGACGGCGCGAACCCAGCCCCTCCCTTTCCCCCACCCTACGCAGCCCCCCTTCCCTTTCTTTGACATTTTCGCTGCCCGAAACCCTAAATTATGCAATTCGTTTAAAGTGTTTTCGGGTGGTTTTGGGGTGGTGGTTTAGGGTTAGGGAAGGCCGAAAACATGAGGGGAAGGGGAAGGATGTCGATTTCGGTTGGGGGGACGGGGTTGGGGGCGGATTCCGGCGGGGGAAGGGGAAAGGGATGGTGGTTTTAGTTCAGGGTGGGGGTTGGGGAAAGGGGAAGGGGGCTGCGTAGGGTGGGGGAAAGGGAGGGAGGGGGGTGCGGGCGCGACGACGTCGACCGATTTTCTAGGCGTAGATCGCCGGCAGGGGGAGGGAAGGGGTGGCAGTTGAGGGGAGGGGTGGCTGGTTTTTTTAAAATTCTTTTTATTTTTTTATTTTTTTTGGTGGTTGACGTAGAGGCATTTAGGGTGGCTAAGAAGGGAGTGGTGGCCGGAAGGTGGTAATGAGGGTGGCTGGATCTCACTAACAGAATTATTAACGGTTTCCGTTAACTGGTAGCGAATTTTAAAAAACGGGATTTGATAGGTAGTAAAATAAAAAAAACTTTTCCCAGGTAGCAAAAGTGAATTTAATGTGTTTCAGAGGTAGCAAATGTCAAAATTTCCAATAGAATAAGTAATTTGTTTAAAAGGTTAACATTGGACAAGTGTCGCATTGTTATAGGTTAGGGATTTTTATTTTACATTTTTCTTTGTTAAGATGATTGATTTTTAATTAAAAAATTATTAAAAAAATCCCAGCCTATATATTCTCATAATCTCTAGTAGACCAGCAATCCATAGTGCAGGATTTATGTCTTCATCATGTGCAATTACTAGATATATAAATGGATCAAATTATGGACATAATTAAGTTCGTGCATTTGGGTCGTCGTTATATCATAGCTAGAGATACTAACGATATTTGGGCTAGTAAAATAGGCCAAAGTCCACTTGGACAGATCCTATAAGGTCACACAAAGGGACTAGGTCGAGGACGAGAGGACAAGGCCCATGATGGGCCTCATCCCCTATGATGGGCGGCCATATGGAGAAGATTGGAGGGTTTTGGGCTTCCTAACCTAGTCTAATTATAATATGATTATAAATAAATTAGTTGCTTAGGGTTTGAATGTAATGCAATTCAGTGATCAGTTTGACCAAACCCTAATTAGCAAACACGAGACCAAGCCCTCTCAAACTTTTCTCTCTCTCACGGCTCTCTCCTCCCTCGGCGCCTCTCAAGGTGGTTCGTGGTGGTCGGTTAGTCCATTAAAGGTGGTGATCGCGGTTTTCCCTTTCACTTGACCAATCTAGTATTGGGTGGATGACTCGTTCGAAGCTCGTGGACTAAGCAGAGGAGCAACGCTTGGGGCTGTATTCTCTCCCTGATTTGCCTGTCAAATAGCTACGTGGAATTCACGCTTCAAAGGTATGATTATATGTCTTGTGTGTTATGCATGCGGTCTTGGGATTAGGAACTTTTTGAATATGATTCATGATTTTTCGCTTTATAGTACCTATAAGCTCCCACAATGGTATTAGTTAGCCTCTTGCATGAACGCGCTAGATTATAAACATACGATTAATTTGAAATCCATGTTAATTTTATATTCAATTAAGAGGGAGAAATTAATTTAATTATGGTACAATTATTATTTTAATGTGATTAAACTTTTGGAATTGATTTTATATGATTTAATTATGCTCAAAATAGCCATGAAGAGGACCGAATTAAGCCCTAGAATATTCGAAAATTTCAGACACCCTAACCCTAATTTTGAATTTTTCGAAAATTCATAGCCATAAAATATGATTTTGTGCTTGATTTTTTATTTTAGATTTTATTCGAATTGTTTTATGTTTCATAATTTTAATCGGATTGATATTACATAAAATGTTTTGTGTATGATCATCGATTTAATTTTAAGAGTTATAATTAAATTGGGATTAATTTTATGATAAACCCTAATTTTAAATTTGAATGATGATTTAATTTTAATTAATTTTGTGGATCGATTTAATTTAATTTTGATAAATGTTATTTTACTTAAATTAAAAACCAAGAGAAAAATAGGTGGCTGGCAGCCTCGACTAGGTGGCGCAGCCGCGGCGGCTGCCGACCAGGTGGCAATCCAAGAGGGAGGGAAAGAGGAGGGCTGAGGTTCGGTGGCCGTGGGCACCAGTGTGGAAGCGTTGCACAGCTGCTGCTGCTGCCTTGCAGCCAGCCACTGTGGCTAGCCAACCACGGTAGCCTGTAGCCCAGCATAGTTGCTGCCACGCTGCTGCCTTTGCGACAGTGGCTGCTGTAACAAGAAGCCAACCACCGTAGCTAGCTTCGGCTAGCTAACCACGGTGGCCGGCGGTGATAGCTTCCAGTTTTCAAAAAAAATATTTATTTTATCTAAAATATTTCAAGATAAATATGATTTATTTTGGGATAAAATAAGATATTTTTGAAATATAATCTTTTGATTTGGATAAAACAAATGTTTCAAAAGTTGTTAGATTTGATATTATCCATACTTAAAGTTGTTAAATTAGTAATTATCCATAATTAAATGATTAATTTTGGATAAGATTGATTAGGATATTCTGAGCATATTTCAAAAGGATAAAGAGCAACTCCAATGGTTGGGAAAAGGGACTAGCTTGCAAATATTAAAAATGTTAAGCTAATAGCTACACCATTGTTGCAAATCTTGTTGATTAGCTTTGGCAAGCAAATTAGCTTTGTAGAGCTAATTAGCTTGGCAAATATTTATTAGATAAAAAATATTATTAATTTAAAAATAAATTAATTTACAACTAGCTTAACCATTGGAGCAACAAATAGCTTGAGTTGTTGTAGCTTAAGAAGTTGATGTGGCATGCCAAGCTATTAAATAAATTAGCCAACCATTGTAGTTGCTCTATTTAAATAATGTGATTATCCCATAATTAGATTAGGATGTAATTAATTTTAAAATTATTTGATTGGCTAATAATTAGGATATAATCTCCTAAATAAGTTAGGATAATCATAGAAGATTAAATAAGATTTATATTTCTAGATTAAAATAAGATTTGATTCTATCTTATGCCTAAATTAAAATATATGATATTTTATGAACGGTCATGAATAATATACGATATTATCTAATTATGATTTAAAATATAAGATATTTTAGGAAATGCGTTGCCTTAATTATGAACATTCGATGTTGTAGTTTAGAAAAGCATGTTGAGTGATTTATTATATGACATTTTTATAATATATGATATAATATTGATATATATAGACTAGTATGACCCATAGATTCTAAAATACAATTTGCGCACCGTGATGTATTTTTGTAATCTAAATACGGTTTGCGAACCGTTAAGTATTTTTGTAACTTTTATTTAAAGTAAATAGATTAGTTATTTAAATAGTGTTAGTCCAAAGAAGCCCATGAAGTGAAGGCCCAAAGGAGCAAGGTGGATGGAGATCCATGATGATTCAAGTTAGAGCTTTTCATTTATAGTTTTCTTAGGACTAAGGGGCCATACTATGTCATGTTTCATTGCATTAGTAGATTATGCATGTTAGATTTTATTTATGTTGATTGATGATACGCTAGAGTTCACTAAATAATCACAACATAATAAATCTAGGTCCCAGTAATATTGAGATTACTCTTCCAATTAGATACCCAACAATCCTTCGATCGTGAGTGATGGGTCGGCCTCAGCATAGTGTCACTTGTTATCGTGGGTAATTTGGGGTAGATCACGTTCTACATATTTAATTGGTTGTGCTCAACAAGGTTACATAAAGCGTTTAGAACCCGCTTTAGGTAACCTTGAAGCAAAGGGTAGTAATTAAGTACGTGAAGGTTAATTATTCAACTAAGAGTTACAAGAGTTGTAATCAGTAAAGAGTTTACTCACCTTGAAAATGTAATGATTGATGGTAGGGCCTCATTCCGGTCAATTATTGCACAAATAAAGGATCTTGGAATCACTTAAAATTCAATTGGGATCAATTAATATTGAATAAAGTGTGTTAAAGTTACCAATTTAATTCGTTTATGGTACTTTAATTTTAAATTAAACATAATTATTAAACTTTGCCTTATTTTGACATAGATGGGTAGCCGTAACAATGACAACAACATTTACAACCTTCGACCATTCCTTGAGAAGGATAGGTTGACAAGTGGATAACTTTTCCAACTCGGAAAGAATGCTAAGACTTGTTGTGAAATCTGAGTGTAGAGAGGATGTCATTGACACCCCATTGCCAGGACCTTTTCCAAAAAATCCAACTGCGGCAGAGATCAGTAAGCACAAGGAAACTCATGACAGAGTTGTGCCTATTACTTGCCTAATGATTGCTACCATGGATTCTGGTCTTCAAAAGCGTTTTAAGGATCAGGATGCGTACACAATCCTTGTTTAAGAAACAATTAAGATTTGAAAGGTACGAGCTC